GGAAAGAGAGCGGGAAATGTGTTAGCTGTGTGAACCCATGGGGAGTGGGACAGGACAATGCTAACTCTGTTCATGAACTCTGAGGAGTGGGCCTCCACACACACCAGTTCTTGTGGTAGTGCAGCCTGTTGATCATCTGCAGAAACAGAAAACAGCTCAACCAAACAAAACTGAAGTGTTTAATGTTTCCTCCTCGGTAACCGATGTGACAAACTGACAGCCCCATCAGCTTACAGTATGACCCATGGCTCTATAAACTACCAGCCATTTTCTGCCTTAAATAATATAGTTTCTATTTCTGTTTGACAGTCATAAGGAGATGAGTGATTTAATTTTAATCTCAAGTGGGTTGTTTGCTGCTATCAAACACGTCGGGAGTTATCATTTGAAGGGGCTTTTCCATTCGAAGTAACGACCTTACTGATAAAGGTTTCAGTGGATGATAACTTCCCTGGCCACTTTGGCCAACAGATAAGCAAGGAATTTTCCCATTCTTTTAACAGACACTGTCCTCAGGGGACAGTGTCCCCTTCTACAAACCAGCTGTGAAATACAGTATACAGTGTATTTGTTACCGACTTATAAAAATCCTGAGCTAGATACAAAGAAAAATATTATCTGTAAATGTTTAGAAATTGTCATACTGTTTTATAACATGACAGAGATACACAAGTTGTAGTTCTTTAGTAGTTTTGTCAACTACCATTACCTGTTTCAGAAACAGAGAGAACAAACTAATTTTACTGAAGTAATCGCATTTTTTCAGATGTTATACTACACCGTCAGTGCAACAAGTAAACCTTCAGTTTGTGTAAGTGGTAATCACCACAGGAGGTGGTGACAGATGTTCATGACATAAGTCTAGCTTGACAAAACCAACTGGTGACTATCAGTTTAACTTCAGCCTGATGTCTGACTTGCAGTGCAGTAAGGAGCAACTGTTTGTGACTTAATGGACTGTTTCTTTTCAGCTAAGGCTGCAATTTACAGTTATATTTATTATCTATTAATCTGCCAAATACTTTCTCAATTAATCACTCTATCTAAAAAAAAAAAAGTCAGAAAATGGTGAGAAGTGCCCATTATAATTTCCTCAAGTTCAAGGCGATACCTTAAAACAGTCTTTTGTTTTGCAAAACCTAAAGATATTCAGTTTAATATGCAAGACAAAGCAAAGCCTCAAACCTTCACATTGAGAAGACAGAAGCATCACTTTTTTGCACAAACAAAAACCACAATATTCCCCAACAGTGCAATATCTGATAAGATATTGAAAAGAGGACATACAATGTGATCAATCAACGACCTGCGGAGCCGAATCAGACACATCCTAACGCATGTTTTCTTGTTATCAACATCGTTACTAGACCAAGTTTAAAACAGCTGATTCAATCATTTGGTGTGGTGTAGCATCACTGCTGTACTTATAAGGAGAGTGAAAGAAACCATTCATCTCAGATATCTCCTGAACTGATGTGTCGACATACTGCATGGAAACATAGCTGCAGAAGCCACCATCGCTAACAATCTCTAATCTAATTAAAATATTAACACTAACAGAATCAATTTAGCTTATTGATGAAGTGCCACTATGCACTGTTTGTATTTTGTTTCACTTACAAAACAATACAAATATACTGTATAACACAGCACTAGCCACAGCCTTCATGTAGTGTTGCTTTCGTCAATGAAAATTATGACTAAATGACGTCGTCAACGAACCTTTATCGCGTGACGAAAACGAGAATTGACGCAACGAAAATGCTGGTCATGTGACGATGACTATGATTAAATATATAATGCAATATTGTTGACGATAAAAAACGAGACGAAATGTTATAACGTTATTTTGTCTCGTTTAGTTGTGTTATTATTATTATTTTGCAGTATTTCTGTTTCCTGTGTCTTGCTTCAGGGGCCGCATCAGACGCGTCGCACTGCGCAGACACAGGCGACGTCATTTCCTTAACCACCACTCGTGGAATTATTGAGAAGACGACAACAAACAAAGTTAAGTCTGACACAGACAGGGATCAATGGCCGGCCAGCCAGGGTTTGTCATTGGGAGAACTAAAACTAGACTAGACTAAAAAGAGTATGAATTGACTAAAACTAATGAAAACTAAAATGACAGCTTCACACAAAGACTAGACTAAAACTAAATTGAAAACAGGCCGCCAAAAACAACTATACCTTCATGTAATCGTTACAGTAGGGTGTGTTAAGATTGGTTTCTGTCATGAGTTGCACTGATGTGATTTGCTCGGTGGTTTAGATACTGATCACTGGGGCAGTATGGAAAAATGTGAAAATAGCAATCACCACAGGACCTCTTTATTCTTTCCTGCTCCATTTCCTCCAGCAAGATATAAGTAGGACAGTGGCGCATGCTTCTCATTTCAAGACCCCCTTTTAGCACAAACAGCTTTGTGTTATATCTAGAAAACTGCACATAAAAAAGAAAAACATTCTTCACATACCGAGTTATTTGGTAACCCATGCAATTTTATTTTTGTAATTAGTTCTTAGCAGTGTTTTTTTTTTTTTACTCCCAGGAGGTATACGTTTACCCACCAGTGTTTTGAATATTGTAACAATAAGCAAATAAACTCCCTGGCACATTCCTCTAGGGCCACTGAGGACTCGGCCTTGCAAACCTCTTAGAAATGACAGCAGTACGTCTTTCCCACAGAGAAAAACTAAATACTGAAGACCTACAGTTTATGTGTGAGCAGGCTGCTAGGAAATAAACATATACTGAAGGTAAGACCAAAGCCAAGGAAAAGGGACACACACTCAAAAACACAACCAGATACTAGCACAACACAAAAACTGGATTTGCTTACTTTTGAAGCCTTCCAATTTTTCAGCCAGGTCATCTTCATCCCTGTATTTCTGGTCTTCCAGGTATTCCTGAGGGGGAGAGAGGGGAACAAGCAAACTGAAGATGGTCTAAAAAAACAAGTATTACAGGCTTTAAATGAAACTGAAGCCTCTGAGCCAGTTTCTAAACTTTCTTGATAAATACCATTAGTAGTGTAAAAGCCTACTCATGAATTAGAGCATTCAAATTGATCTGGTTGAATCCTGTCAAATGTGTCAAAAACTTCAAATTGAGAGTGATGATTCATAATCTAAGGAAGTTCTTACCAATGGACGGTGTTCATTATGTGGAACACCTCACAAGGGAGTACAGGAAAGGGCCTGTATGGAGCTATTCTAATGAAAATATAATGTCGCAATCTGCCATGAGGGAGTCGTCTTTAAGATTCATGAAAACAAGAATGAGCAAGGGAGACAGAGAGTGAGGTTGTTTTCTGCAGGGACCTCTGAGTGTCTCACAAGCTTGTAATTAAGGGTGATGAAGACAAACACCACAACTTAATGTTTATCAGGGTGCCCCTGACTCAGCTGTGCTGGATCAGTACTGCAGCCTCCACACACAGGAATGTCTTCTCACAGTAACAGTGTACCTTGCAAGTATATTTTAATAAATGCAGTGCCAGTGTTACAGGAAGGGAAATCTCAGTATCTAAGCAATGTTTCATTATGCTGAGGACAAACAGAGAGTACACGTGTACTGTAGCATCCTATATTCTAATATTCATTTCTTATACACAACCCATAACACAAATAAACATTTCTGATAAGGTCCTCTCAATTTGTTGTTTTTTTGTTTTTTTTTTACACATTGCAAAATGTACTAAATCGGACATTTTAATATTTATTTTGAATATCTAACATACACCATGACTAAGAAAGTAATTACAGGAGTGTGGTTCGATTATCTTAAATGTTAAAATGGCTTGTCATAAACACATCCATATGAACAGGTCAGAGGGAAAAGTCCCCCAGCACCGAGAGCTATGTGACAGCAGTCAGCCATTCAACAAGTGCCTTGAGACTGCAGGAGAAAATCAATAAAACGCAACAGCATCGCTACGGTGAACAACAATACATGGCATTTGGGGAATTCCTTATTTCCAACAGCTCAATGCGGCCGCCTTGAACCCTTACAAACAAGGCCAATGCCAAGTCTGTGCGTGCTAATTAATTCAAATTCTCCGAGGTGCCGTTACAAACGCTGGGAGCTGGTAAGTAGAACATGCGTACCTTGTTTATTTCTTCCAGTTTTTGCCTTTGCTGCTCCTTTAATAGTCCAAAGGCTTTCCCTCCTGCAAAAGGAAAATTATATTATTTTAACAGCTAGCTTGTAAATATCGACACAGGCTGAGCTTGGACGGTCGGCCTCGTGATGCGCTATTGTAAAGCCTTTAGCTAGCGACAGACATAAGAGATGCCCGGGAAGACAGACAGGGGCCTCAGCTATCGTTTCATTTATTACGTTACCTTGGATATTGTGACTTGAAGGCATCCCAAAATGTATACGTGATATTTAAATCCAGAAAAAGATAAAATATGCGAGTCTGAATGATACTGCGCCTGTCTACCGTTCCTGGCGCTCCTATGCTCTGTTTGAGCTTGAGCTCAGTCTCGGTGTCAAGATGGACGCAATCAGTAAAAGGATGCTCTGTCAAGCCTTTCAAAATAAACTACGTACGGATGCACAGTTTAAAAACTGTATATGCTATAGTATAGGCCTATATAACGTTTAGGTTTAATACTGGTACTGTCATCAAGAAAAAATATATAGCGGCAACAGACGATTATTTTAATAATTAATTGATCTCTATAAGGGGTGGCTGTGGCTCATGCCTAAATGTCCCTGAGCAAGACACTGAACCCCGAATTGCTCCCGGTGGCTTGACTAGCGCCATTGCATGGCAGCCTGTTGTCATCGGTGTGTGAATGTTGTGTGTGAATGGATGAATGATGTATGATCTTCTGTAAAGCGCTTTGGCCAGTGCAACACACTGAGACTCCTACAGTTTCCCAGAGCACAAGAAGATTATTCCATTAGTCTGTTGAACATTTTAAGCTCTTATTATGAAGGCCGAAATATCCGAATTCCGGTACCATTGCAGTGCAAATACACTATCCTCATCACTGAATGATGCTGTTGGAGTAAACTGTGACGCTCATTACTTGCGCTTACCATCGTGTGGCCCACGAGGAAATTAAACATAATGAGGGCGTTACCCAGACAAAACCGTCAGAGATGGAAGAACAGACAGTAGAAGCCGGTTTCAGTGAATAAAAGTCATTCCACTGTGCAGAAATACATTTAAAAACAATAAAGACATGACAGCCTAATTAGTCATACCCATCCTCCAAAAAAAAAAAAAAAAATGGGACAATGCAAAATTAAATTGGTCTCTTTCAGCCTGCTTTCCAAGCAGTAAATGTTTAGTAAATGCTGTGATATATTGTCATATGCAGCAAATCTTTAATCCATCCTCTTATTGCATGCAATCCATGTTATAGTAAGCTACTTGTCCAAAGTATCAGTCTAATAATTATTTATTTGTCACTTATGTTTGGGTCTGAAATCATTAAGTTGCCAAGTTGCCTCTTAATGTGATGTGTATGTGGTCATGTCATGTCAGTCCCATAAGGACCAATTAATCTTACAGTTTGGGGATGCATATTGTTTTCTGAACAGAACACATTTCCAAACCATTTGATTTTATGAACTACTGTGCCATTTATAATTTTGGCAGATAGAGCCCCAAGAGCTGTTTGAAAATGGAACTCAAAAATACATATAGCCTACATACAAATCCAAACATAATATGGGCCCATAAATAAACCATAGCTGGCAGATTATTAGGTACACCAAGTTATAGAATAATGCAGTCTAATGCAACAGCCCTAATGTTCAATTTTTTTGTACAGATGGGCCAGGTGAGTGTCTAAGCAAACATAACAAACTACACAAAATACATATTTATTTGCTTACCTTTTTCTTTTTCAGTTTATTTATTTATTTGCTAATGGGTTTCTCAGTTTCAGTGTAATTGGGGGTGTCATGTTCATGAACTGATTAATAATGGAGTCATGTAGTCATGAAAGCCTTTTAGTGTTTAACTGTGGGCTATTCTGCAGTGTTTGTCCTTTTCAGAGAAGCTTAACTTGATGCTGCTAATTTACAGCCCAAGTTATTAAGGTAACAATATTTCAAATATTACCATTACCATTCAGGAGCAATATTAGATGTATCAATACCACTATTAAAATTGAGCAGCCTCAGATGCAGAGAGAAGATTTTCTATAAAAGGTTTTGCTACTGTGTGTACACACAGAGAATAATAATCTAGTTGAGGGCACAGCCTATATCACAAATCGACACATTTGAATTTATTTCTTCAGCTGAATAAGGTATAAACAGACCTATGCCATAAAAATGCTGTCCAATCTGAAGTCACGTCTGCTCGTGACTATATACACATTGTTATTCATGTAATGCTTCATTGTATATTCTGTCAGAAAACTAGCACAACGTTGTATATTTTGTCACAGAGTCTGTACAACCAAAGACATTTACACCTCACAAAACATGTTTTGAGTGTTTGATGGAAGAATACTTAAAAATCAGTTTATTGACTTTGCCACAGTAGCTTCAGTTTTATTACAGGAAACAGTTTTCACACTTTATATAGTGATTTACATAAAAATGTCTGCTTGTATTTTTTTAAATAGCCTATCAGCTATACTGCATCTCTGAGACCCTACTCTGGGAGCATTTTACATGCATTAATTCAGTGCTAGATCATAGGGCTGCTTGGTTTTAAATAAATTATGACCTTGGCAAGACCACAGACTGCAACTAAATCAAAGAGTGTGCAAAGCACTTTCAAATAATAATATGTTGCCCTCCCACTGATTTTCAGGCTTTTTTGCTGATATTCAGAAATGGCTGCTCTACAGATTGTAGCACATGTTGCTGACAGATTACCTTGTTGAACAAGTATTTCCATAATATTCTACAGAGTTTTCTTTACTGAAAGAGAAGAACTGATCTAATCGTGAGATCAGCCCAAAGATTTGTCTGAGCTAGCAGCTGAAAAAAGTTGAGGCAAGAAGGTTTAAACAAGTCGGTCCACGTTCTAAATGCTGAACTTAATGTAGTGTCAGAAAATTAGGAACATTTCCTGATGTAGAAATGCTAGATGTAATTGAACCTCTGAGGTTTTCATTTTCACATGCTCACCATTTAAATGCAAAAGGTTCTGAGTCAGTCCAGCTCAGCTGAAAAACTGATAACAAAAGCTTCAGATGGATAAAATTCAAAGTACGTAATATTCAAAGTAATTAGTTTCAGGATAGATTTACCAATATAATTTTAAAGGAAGTGGACCTGTAAGTTATGTTCAAATCCGAGACATACTTGCTACAAAGCATTAATCTATCATGCAGGCCACTGAACAAATAACGTCTATATATGCTGAACAAATTAATGTGCCACATAATCCTTTGCCATTTTTACCTTTTGTCAGAACTGAAATGACATATACAGAAATTAGGCTGTTACACTAGTGAACGTTTTTGTAAATCTGGTATCCTATAGTACAAATAATGTCACATAAGCAGTGGCTTTAACAACCACTTCTTTATCATATCAATAAAGAAAAAAAGAACTGATTATCATATGCCATCCAAAAAGTTTCAAGAAGCAGTCAACATAAGCCACTTCAGTCACTCTTCTTATTCTTTTTGTTTATTTCCTATCCAACAAATCCTATTAAAAGAATGAAACCAACAATGAACTTACCCTACCATATTATGTAATCAGTCATACAATGTATAGCTCAGTCCTCCGTGCTGGCCTCCTTTGCTGTCCAAAAAGAATACAAAGTCTGTCCCCTGCTTCAACTTAGATTTTACCTGCCACAGTTCACAGTGCAGTGCGTATTCTGCCACCGGTGCCTTTCCCACTCTCCTTGTTATTGTTCTTTGAAGGTCCCCTGAGATCCTGAAGTCAACATTGAACATCTGGTGGTTTAAAGTGTCAGAGGTAACTGGAGGTGAGGACTGTGGAGAGTGAAAGAGCTCCAACAGTGTGACGAGGAAGTGAGAAAGTGATGTTTCAGTGGAGCAGATGTACTGGGACCAACAGGCATTTGTGTGTGGAGTAATAAGAACGCTGTTTTGGTGTGGTGCATTCAAATTCTTCAAAGGCTACAGTTAGATGTGATACAAGTTTAGGACCATTGGATGTAATGATCTGACAGTGAAGTGAATGGGCGGAGGTTCGTAGGGCAGGCAGCATGTACAACAGTGGAAATGAGTTTTTATGCACCTGTTCAGAAAGCAATGTTAATTCAGAATCATTGGATGAAAAAGGAGGTTGCAAGTGAATTAGGTCATGGGCTAAAGGGTAATTGCAACTTTGGAGGCTGTTTAAGGTTTCAAAGTAAGAGACCCAGTCTTAGGTGGGCAGAGAAGTGGGATGAATGGCTGCAGGGAAATGAGGTGAGAGAAGATTTCATCAGGATCTAGAAAGTGAGAGGAAGGAATTTAGTGGAGAAAATGAGAAGTGGATAGGAGGGCGGGTGGGGGATTACTACGGAACTATGTATGTTTTCCAAAGTTGTGATGAAGTGAGACAATAGCAGGGTAGCAGAGAAGGAAATGAGGACAGGTTAGTAAAAGGCTACAGCATGCCCTTAAATAAATGCATTTGCTTTGCTTCAAATTGTTTCCATCTGCCAGTGGGTCACTGAAACTTGATACACATTGTTGGGCTAGTTTGTTTATGTATGCTCTAATGATGATAATTGCCAGAAAATTAGCAACAAATTCATATTTTGGTTTTGTATTTTCATTTATTTATAATGATTATGCTGCTGTCATATCCAAACTGTCTAGATTACTTTGTTCTTTGTTTTTGTGCCTTGGTCTTCTTATTAATGTATTGTATTGATAGTCAAACACACCACATGAGGGCAGCATTGATTCACAGTGACGTGGCCTCTCTGACACTGGAGCCAGTATTTTACTGCATGCAATAAAGCCTGTTATTTCAGAGGCAGAGGGTAAAAAGAAGTCAGTTAGAAAAATTATAGCAAATGTTAAATATTTTGGCAATAATTCTAACAAATCAGATCATGGTAACACAAAAAACACAAAATATCCATGAACAATTTAAACCTATTTCAACTGATACTGACTTAAAGATACAATACTCATCTAAGCTTCATCCCTTTATTTATCACTGTTGTCACCCTAATAGAATAATGTGTAGTTAATGTATATGCTGGATGCTGAATACTAAATACCAGGGGGGTAAACGTTCAAATAAAAGTCAGTGATACTAGCATTACCAACCAGAGTTAATCATAAGAATATAAAGGCCAGATAAATCTGTAGTTGTCAGCTAAGAGTCTCCTTAGCATGTAGAATAAGAGACTTAGTCCACTAAGTTTCATACTGAGCCGCTGAGCTTACGTATAAAGATGGATGTAAAAAAAAATATACAGCAAAGCTAATAAAGTCTTGCCTGAATCACAGTCCACATCAAGTCTACCATAATGTGAAAAAACTGAACAGAGGGAACAAACTTTTACATATTAGATTAAATTAGATTCAACTTTACTGTCATTACCCATGTACAAGTACAAGGCAACG